TTTTTTTTTTTTTTTTTTTTTTTTTTGGTCCATTGTGTTTATACGACTATAAGACATTGTAAATATGGGGACATGAAAAAAAAATCACATGGATTTTTTATTTCAATAAATGGGGTAGCAAAATATTATACAAATCATGATATTAAACAGCCAAAAAGGGCTATTGCAGTATCTATACTACTAGCTTGCAATAGAAGAGAACGATCTTGAAGCTCAACCAACTTATTCACTCTCAAGCATTCAATTTAATATCACAAAGTTAGTTGTTCTTCTTCTCTGGATGGCCGCATTTTGCTTGGATAACTAGTGTTTTTGCAATTTCAGGGCAAGAATCCTTGCTTGGATCATCAAGAAGTTGTCTCTCAATCGGAATTGTGCACTCGTTCTTTCCCAAGCAATACTGTTCAATTCAACACCATATAACTGTTTAGTGTCATCATATGCATGGCTATACAAAACTAGATAGTATAATGAACAAGGTATTGATAGTTTGATCTATTACCTGTTCAACGACTTGGAGGGCTTTGGGAGAGTTACATTTGCCATGGTAGAAGTAACCACAAGCACCATCAGCATCACCAAAACTTGCGAATTCTATGGCATTCATGACCTTGTTGTCGGGGCAACTTAGGTGGGATCCGGTCTTGACAGGGTCAACTATTGCCCGAAATATATTGTCCTTCCTTTCCCATGATTTTACAAGGGGTGGATGGTATTCAGTTATCACACTGCAAATTATATTCCGATTAACTGTTTGTATCTCAATTTTCTCCGGTTTTCCTCCGGTCTCCTCAAATATGACCAAGAGATTATTCTTTGGTTTCAAGAAGGCTCTTGGAATGTGATACCTGAAAATGCATGTCAAAATTGGTTCCCTGAGTTTGTTTTTCATGTGAATGACATATCTAGTACACACTATAGAACTATACTAGTCTGTTAACTTCTTTAATACTGATAAGTTATCTAGAGTCAACCCACCAAAAGAGGTAGAAGATCATAGTGTACTTACTCTGATTGAGTAGGCTTCCCGAGAGGGGAGAGGAAAGATGTCCAATAACGGCCAATGCTTTTACCGTTGACCCAGATCATGCCCTTTGCCATACTATTCATATTGATGGCCACAGGGTCGTTACCTTCTGGCGCATCAAAATATGTCTATGAAACAAACATAAATCAATCGAGTTAAATGTCACAGTATATCATTTTATCCGTGTGTTCGTTTCGCAGATAATAACTTAGTGTGTCGATACCTTGTACCAAGAGAGCGGTCCATCTGCTCCATTCGATGAAGTTGGACCCCATTTAACTTTTTGGGAGCCTTCTTCAGTGTACAACTGCATTTTTTCTCCTGCCATACCAACCTGCACATTGGAATCCACTTTTACAATCATTCAAAGAAATGTAACATTTGAAGTTGATTCTTAATGTTTGAATCAAATACTTGATATAAGAATGTACCTGGTGTCCCCAATTGTTCATTGTGATATCAAGAGTTCCAGACATCAAACCCTGGATTGTTATACCTCGGGGTCCAGCAAACCTCTTCTCCATGTAAGCTCCACTATTCTTCATTCGGAAAAATATGTCACATTTGTTATCTATATCGAAGAATACTCTGCACGGAACATGTTGTGAGTGGACAAATAGAATTACCGGAAATCCGACGGTCATGGCCAAGATTGAGATCTGGTTAACTCCGGGTTTCAAACTTATGGGCTTCTGGAATAGAAAGCTCTTTTCGATGTTGTTTCCATGTCCGAATCCTGAAAAATGACAATCTCCTTAGCTAATGAAGAGGAAAATGCTACACATTGTGATACAACTAGGAGAGTACAATGTATAAATTACCTATGTATATGCCATTGACGAATGCAGCCAATGCATGACCAAGACTCGCAATCTGAAGTACCGGGAGGATGTCAGGCCGCATCGGTAAGTCACGCCTATCGAAGTTGATGCTATAACCATAAAAACAAAGCATTGTAAATATGTTTTGTCTTGTACTATGAAACGGGGTGGTTTTATGATATGCATACCTCGTGCAGTACCAAGCGTAATCTGAGGTATCTTTTGTTAAGCTATATAGCTCGAGTGGTTCCTTGTTCTTTACAGGCAAATCATTCATGTTTGGAACATTCTCTTGGAATATCTCCCACTTGTTGGTCTTTCCGTTCTTTGAAGGAATGAAATTCCTTGCAGAATGTTGTGCAACAACCTATTATGCATATTGGATCAGAAGCCATTTTTCTACATCCCAGTTAACGTTATTAGGACACGACATAGTAAATTATACCGTTTCAGTGTTGTAGACTACTGTCTTGCAATCAGGGAGAATGCTGATGGATCTCTGTGGTAAGTAATAGTCGACACCCCTGAATTGAATCGTCGCAGGTGCCTTTGTGTGGTTGTTGGTCAAGAATGCGGCGCAAATGTTACTTTTGGGATTCTCAAAAGTTATAATCTGCAAAGATTCATTTCATTATTGATTTAGCACTAAAGATCTGATTTTACGCCGTTTTGCATTCTATTTAAATGCTTTTTGTTACCTCTAGGTCCTTGTTAATCTTTTGAACACTAGGAGTTCCCCAAAGCAAAGGCTTTTTGGATAATCTCAGAGCCCTGTGCAAGTCTCTCAAATGACCCCATTTAGGTTCCCTCAGCAAGCCTGAAATAGACGGATCGAAGTTAATTAAATGATTGAACGATTTTACTTCATCGGATCAATTGAGATTGAACTGTAAAATT